CTAAGAATCATTGACTTCAAAATTCCAACCTTAGTCTTGTAACTATGGTTGGAAAGAAAATTAAGCAGAGAAACAACATATGTTGGCTTCATATAAACATCTCTTTCTGAATTACCCTTTTCTCTAATGATGAGAACATCCAGAAAAGGTAAGGACTTATTCTCTTCCATTTCCATTGTGAACCTAATGTTCCTTTCACGCTGGTTGAGTGAAAATAAGAAACTATCTAAATTTTCGTTACCATGAGGCCAGATGACAAAATAGTCATCCATGTATCTAACCAACAATTTTGGTGTTAGTATTGCCTCTTGCAGGAAGTTTTCCTCCAATATTGCCATATAATTGTTCGCTAAGATGGGAGACAGGCAAGATCCCATCGCTAATCCTTGCGTTTGTCCATATAACTTACCATCAAAGGCAAAATATGTGGTACTCATGCATAGATTAGTAAGTCTAATAATTGAAGCTACACTTAACCTTATTCTTTGTGTTATATCCGGATGATCCTCTAAAGTTTGTATCAGAGCTTGAATAGCTCCTTGCACAGGAATGTTTGGGTACATGGACACAACATCAAAGCCTACTAGCTTATCCTCTTCTAAAATTGTCTGCTGATCTAGTAATTTTACAAAATCATACGAATTTTTAACTTAATATAGCCAATAATTGGTAGAGTTCTTTATTAGTATGCATAAAAATCGTGAGATTTTATGCATCACGCTTCTTTTATTATTTACAATTTATCCTAGAGGGGCACCCTCTTTGTGAACTTTGGGAAGACCATAAGCCGTGGGGCCCTTGCATCTCTCTGGAGTAGTGAATCCATTTTCCACTTCTCTATTTCACCATTACTTACGCATACCTTAAGGGCATCTTTTAGCCTAGTCTTAAGTCTTTCGGTTGGGTCTCTCAATAAAGGTCTATATGTGTTATCATTTAAATGTACTAGCATCTTTTCTACATAACTTGATTTACCCATGACTACCACTGCTCCACCTTTGTCAGCTTTCGTTATGATTAGACTATTATAACACAGATATTTAGAAATCTTTCTAATATAACAATCTTTTTTAGGTGGTATTATATGGTCAAAATGAAGGATCACCTCCAGTTCAATACTATTCCTTACCTCTTCAGGCAATCTATCAGATAAGCTAATTAATTCAACAAGTATTTCCAGAGAATGGTTTACCTCATTTAGAAGAGCAAAACTCAGTCCTCTTTCCAATAAAAGTACTACACTATCCTCCAGAGTTGTACTAAGTAAATTGATTACCTTATCCTTCCCCACTTTGTTGCAAACATGGTTACTAAGATTTTTCTAGGGTGCAAAATTTTTCTCAATTCCCGAACTTCTTATCATGTATCCGACGGGTAATTCTGTAAATCGTTAAAAAGTAACATATAAATATATTGTGCTGGTTTGACGTCGTTTTCGCAACTTCGTCGGAGCGTCAGGGATACTACTATGGCAGAGGACGCAGCATTAGATACGTTCCATAAGGCCTCCATGATGCTTCAACCAAGCTGTGAAAACGAGGTCAAACCAACACTATAAGGCTAAATGAGACTGCGACAACACAGAAGGCCACATTATCTTGGTCTTCATATCTACGATATAAATCTACTGTTTACAAAAGCTAAAGGTTAAAACCTTAGTCTCGGTATGGCTCTTCGACGACTGAGAGCTTTGTACGTTTCCATTGAAATAGAAGAAGATTACCTCGAAAATAGCGTCGATAGGAATGTTCCAGTAAAGCCAATCGACAGCGGGTCAAGAGAAATTCACCGTCATCTTTTGGTAGGATCGAACTTCGAATGTGTTCACCAAACATTTTTGCTCGAACTGGCAGTAAGCTAAACAATTATAAACCAAGATTATATTTACATCCCTCATAGGGTGCCGCTAAGGTACTGGGGCAAGATAAAACGAAACTTCCCTCTAGATGGGTGGATAATTTGGGTGAGTAAAACTCATTGAAAAAAATCTTCTTCCTTAATAAACCGTGGCAGATAAGCTTACTGTTTATAAACACAAGAACATGCATTGCCTAAATTAGAATCCTATTTTAGGTTTCCGTGGTGTATACATAAAAAAATGTTAAAGCTTGGATAAAAATGTATAGAAAAAAAAGCAAAGTGAAGGGACATTTAGGTAGAAAACTCACATAATTGTGTTTCCAAACTTCGGATGTAGATGTGAATTGATACCAGAAGAATAGTGAGGGGCATCTCCATGACTGCCAACACCACTTTGTTCACCTGACTCGTCAGAATCACCATCACTATCATCTAAGAGCATCGCAGTTATCGGGTGCAAATCGATTTTCTTGGAGACTGCATCACTAGACATCAAATCTATATGAGTTACATCACTACCGCTAACTTCACTCCCGACCGGGTAGGTGCCGAGCAAGCCGGACATTACTGAAGATGTACTTTCCTGAACAAAAGAGGAATGTATCATTGACTGCCCAGACGAGAAGAGACAAGCGCACAAGTTCTAAGCTAAGAGCATCAGAGTTTTAGTTCGTTTGAATAAGATAATATTAAAATAAGGGTGGCACATTAAATGTTTTGAAGCTAAGAGGTATCACATAGCCAATCGTAAGTC